GGGAGGGATAAGGGTGGGAAAAAAGAAAGGGGGCATTACGATTAACATGTATAGTGTGGGGGAGGCACAGGGAGGGCTATGCAACAGAGAAGACAAGTAGTGATTTTACAGTATCTTACTACACTGATGGACAGTGACTGTGAAGGGGTATGTGGGGGGGACTTGGTGAAGGGGGAACCTAGTAAACAATGTTCTTCATGTAATTGTAGATTAATGATACAAAAATAAAAATAAAATTAAAAAAATTATGTGTCTTAGTTGCCTCAGTTCCAGATCTAAATCTCATTTATCAAGGTTATTCCTGCTTGTGTCTTTTTGCCCTTCAATTGAAGTAGATTCCTTTTTATTTTCCCTTTGGGCTAAGATTGTAAGCAGTGCCATCCAAGTACCTGAGTAGGCTGCAGTCAGGGTTAGTTAACAGCCAGGATTTAAAATCTGGCTGCAATTTAAGGAGGATAAGTATCTGCTTCAGGGTTATTAGGATTAAAATGAGTCAATACACCTTATGTGTGTAGAACAGTGTCTGGCGCATAGTGCCCAATAAATTGCAGCTATTTCTTAGCAGTTGCATGAGTTTCAAAAGCTTTTCCCCAAAATGTTCTCTTGAGAAATGGAAGTTTTTTAAAAGCACAATTGAAAGATTTTATTCAAGGAAATAGGAACAGGTGAAGTGGGAATGGAAGAAAAAGGTGGACAGAAATGGGGTAGTCACTTCGGCAACAAAATATATTATTTTAAAGGAAGCTGCTTTATGCAGTCTAACTTGTATTTAGCCGAAGTAGAACAGTGCCTGTGGGATTTACTTGCATTTTTAGACTTGAAGTCCATTCATAAAAGCCAAGCTTTTTCTTCACAGGGAGGATCTGTGTGACCACACAATCAGGAATACAGGCCATCCCCCAACCCAGGGAAGCAATAGAGATGGTATAAGAACGAGGTCCACCAGTGTCCTGCAGGTTTACCATAGCCACGGCCCAGGCTGAGTGAGAGAGAGGGCGTTCCCACAGCTCAAAGTTGTCTTCCTGAAAAGAAAGCCAAGAAAATTGGTGTGATAGCTTGGTAACTAGCAGTAAGCTGCCTTGTAGCTTTCAGTCTTACTGTCAGAACCTATTGAGCACTTCTGGGAACAATTAAATATTATCTTGTGGCATGTTTTGCAAATAATGATTCAAGAAACAGGAACCTCATTACTGATTATAATAGGAAGAAAAATATTCTCAAAAGATCAATGCATACCCTCATATAACAGATTTAGGCCCAGGACAACCTTGATACTGGATATAAAGCCATCTTAAAATACACACTCAAACATGGATGAGCTGTAAACTAGAAGGCAGAAGAATGTGTTCTTGGCCAATTCCTATTTTCTCCCATAGAACATGACTTACTATACCTTTCTAAACTGATACCCCTGCTTGCCCAAGGGGTCCTGGTTGATAGCAATCACATCCTTATCCTGAAGAAGAGCTTTGGCTTGAGGGCTGATGTGCCGGAGGTCATTGGACATGAGTAATGGCGATGCCATGATAGCCCAGAGGGCCATCTGAGTTATCTGTTGATTCCAACTGAGGCCAAAGTTGCCAATCACTAACTGGGAGGAAAAATAAATTCACATGAGAAGACAAAATATTCCTAAAGTTGGGAGAAGCCACTTCACGGAACCATGCCCTGAGTAGTCTCACATAAAGCCTGTTCCCTAGGAACTTGCCCTTCTAATTTACCTTAATGTCAAGGAGGAAACAGGCCCACTTGCAGGGGCTTGAACAAGGAGGGCTCACTCAGGTTCTTACCATATCTGGGTCATTCCAACCCCCTGGTCCTGCAACGGGAACAATACTCTCCTGGTTAGAAGATGTCCAGCCCAAGATACTCTTTATACTTTCCCAGGAATCAGAAACATCATAAAAATTTCTCCAGTGATTGCAGTACTGTCGGATTTCTGTGTAATTCGGCTGTGAAAACAGATAGCTCTTCTGTTAAAATTTCTACTAACATTCTTGCAAAATGAAAACAGTCAAGTTCAAAGGAGACACTTGCCTTTACACAGTAAAGGCCTCCATAAGGAGAACTAAATCCTTAAAACTGAATTTCATTGTAAGATACTTGCTTCAGAAGTAGGCCATATAACTTAAAATCCCTACTTAAAATGGCTTTAAGACTTTATGCTGGGAATTTGCCAACAGGTACTGGGATTATGGAGGATTTTAATTTTTTTACACTTCACTGTATTTTCAAACTTTTCTAAAATGAACATGTACTACTACTTTTATAATCTGAAATAACTAAAGTGATCTTAATGAGTAAAAATAAAAGCTGCAAAATTACATAGGATTCATCAAGCATATAAGGCAATCTGAATCCTAGGCATATAATTTGTTAACAGAACAAATAAAAGTTTGTAGATAGGCAGATGGGAGGGATATCAGGCTTAAAACCTTTGAAACAGAGGTGGGAGTATTCTGCAGAGATTCAAAGGAAATAATGGATTCATTCTATAAATAATTATTCACCACTTAGCATATGGAAGAGACACACTGATAGTCAAGACAAGGCCCTTGCCCTCCTGGAGCTTATGTCCTAGTGGGGCAGATAGACAAAAAGCAAGTCAACAAAAAATTCCATATAGCGCTAAGCTCTTAGAAGGAAATTCAACAGGTTAATGTAATAAAGAATGAGTGGATAGAGGGCTACTTTAAAGTAGGGAGAGAAGACCTGTCTGAATAGGTGTAATTTGGTCTGAGGCCTCAGTGTTGAGAAGCCAGCAATTATAAAATCTTGGGGGAAGAACATACAAGGCAGAAAACAAAATGCAAGCATAAAGTCCCTGAGGCAGCAATAGGTTTGAGGTTTTTGAGGGACAAAGAAAACCAGTGCAGTGAGGGAAAAAGTGATGGGAAATGAGGTTGGGGGCAGGCCAGCGCCAGATCAGTGGAGTCTGATTTTATTTCAAGTGCAATGGGAAGTCAGTTAAGGGTTTCAGGCAGGGGAGTGATATGATCCATTTACATTTTAACAAGATAACCCTGGTACTGTGTAGAAAATGGCTGAAGGTACAGGGAGAGTGGAAGTAGATCAAGCTGTTGTAGCACTCTGGAATGGAGATGGTGGTGGTTTGGAAAAAGAGGGTACCTGCAGCAGAGATGGAAAGAAGTGGGCTGATTCAGGATTTATTTTGTAGATAGTACTGACAGAACTGCTGGTGGGTAGGTTTCAGCTGTAAGACAAAGGGAAGAATCAAAGATGACTGACTTCCCAGATGATAGTAGCTTAGACTGCAATGATAGCAGTGGGGATGGTGAGAAGTGGCTGGGTCCTGGGAGAGATGGTAGGACGAGACTGTTAAGTAAGGTTGGACTTTGAAGAAGACCTTTCCTTTGTTCTCAAAATCTATCAGCAAGGCTCTCCTGGATTCTGAGCTCATTAGTTTACCTTACGAAAGGGCCACATATAAAGGGGCCACTCACAGGAGTACACGATGCTTCTGCCAGTCTTGTTCAGGGCCAAGGACATGTACTTATAACCTGTATGAGGAAACAATGAGTAAAATAAAGCAAGGGAATTTCCAGCAAGGGCCGTATATTTTAAAAAGAGACTACCCAGAAGGCCATCTTTTTCTTAAACCAGCAGCAGAGACAGGTGGCTGCTCTGTGATTGTGTCTAGTACCTTCCAGACTGCTGGAATTGTTCTGAGGAGTGTGGGATGGTGCATATATTGATGAGAGGCAGGAATGAAAATGCTCCATTTTCTGACATTCTGAATGCTTTTCCAAGTGATGTAGTGGAGAGTTACAATTACTATTTGTAATCAACTCAGAGCCCTTGAATTAAAAGTACACAATAGTAGCCATGGTTAGGCATGTATAGATTTTACATACATGAATGAATGAATGTATAAAGGCACGGAGCTCTGGCACATTGAGAATAATTATTTCCAGTATTGTGACTGGTATGTAAAATGTAAAGATTAGTTCTTTGGCTGCTCAGTTACCTTGGCCTCAAAGTTCTTCCCTTTGCTCATGGCTAAATCTCTTGAATGAAACATACCATCTTCCAGAAGTTTCACACTGTCACAGTAACAACCGTCAAATTTGAGCAGATCTACTCCCCAGTCAGCAAAGGTCTTGGCATCAATGTCATAGTATCCAAAACTCCCAGGGAAACCTGCACAGGTTTTATTTCCAACATCTGCATAAATCCCTAGCTTCAGTCCTTTGCTGTGCACCTGAAATGAGAGGAAAGAGTCACCACAATACAATGGCAATCATGAAGTAGACAGAAGCACTCCAGGCTGGGGGCAGAGACAAGCAAACTTCACCAGGTACTGGGGTCTTTTTTCCCCACAAACCCCCAAAATTATCCAGATGAGTGTTGAGAGACAAAGGGTGAAGTTTCCAATTCTGCTGAGTTCAGACTCTACATGTAAGCTATAGCACAGAACTGGAGGGAAAGCTAACAGCTGTTCTAACCTTCCTCTCATGAGATCCTAGAAGTTGCCTTTCCAGGGCAATGATAGTTTTATCTGGACTAAGACTCTGCTTAACCAAACCATAGGCTCCTCTCAGCCTTTTTTTCAAAAGCCTCAACCTTGGCCTTCCATGTCATTTCAACAAGAATTCTGCTAGGTCATCCCCCAGCTCTTGGTATTTGATCGAGTTCCTCACCCCTCACCACTGATGTCCAAGTCCTTGGCCTACCTTTAGCAAGAATCCCTCCTCCTCTTAGTAATTTTCCATCTTAGTAGAACCCCTCAAGCAGCTCATTGGCTATAAAACCCCACTTTTCTTTGTTGTATTCAGAATTGACCTATGACTCCATTACTACAGTAATAACTAGTGTATTACTCTTTAGCAGTCTCCAGAATATATTTCTTCCACATTCTAAAATTCTATTTATAGTACAATTACAATAGCTGTTCAAAGCTTATATGGAAATATATGCACACATATCAAGAACCAAGTTCTTTTTTCCTCCAAGAGAATTCAATGGTTTCAGCAAAAGGAGAAAAATTTCTAGATGGGCTGTCAAGAGCTGTTGTAAAACACTGATCTGCTGATGGGATGAAAATTCCACCTGATAAGCCTTCCAATTCAGTGTTCAGATAACAGCAGCTATTTTAGTTTCTAAGTGTTTCCTAAGGAGCTTGGTATAGAAGGGCTTATAATCTCCTGAACAGGAAAAGAATTATCTATAAACTCACATAATTAGCTAGGCCACTGATCCCTCTTGGAAAGCGTTTAGGGTCTGCCTGAAGTCGACCTTCTGAATCTCTTTGGGGAGCCATCCAACAGTCATCAATGCAGAGATACTCATAACCTACAGCCTTCCAGCCATCTGAGGCCATGAGATCTGCCATCTGCATGAAGAGTTTCTCACTGAAAGAGAAATTCCAAGAATCATTACAATTCATTAAGTAAATGCTTGGGTACTCCTATTTGTTAGGTACCTCAGGGTTTCACAATTTAAAAAAGAATCTAGAAATAGTTTGGTGGTAGTCACAACCATTGCAAGGTAAAATAGACTAGGCCTTTTTTCCTTCTCCCTTCCATCCCCTCTTAATACTTCTACCCTAAGAACCCCAAACAATACAGAAATACATGAATTGAAAAGGCTATCAGATCAGTGAAGTAAGAAACTACAAAATAACATAACGTATAGCTTCCTTAGATATCAATAATAACTTTTGGAGAAAAAGATAACATTTACAGGAAAGCAACAAAAAAGACTAAAATACACAGAGATAAGACATGTGCAGGGCTTGTATACATAAAACTATGATGTTCCCAAATGATTTGAGTAAATGGAGATAATATTAATTTGCTCTTGAATAAGAATACTCAATATTAAAAACAAGCTAATTCACCACACACGCCTTTATACATTTAATAAAACTGAACAAAAAGGACTTTTTAAGGTATTTGGCAACATTATTCAAAAAGTTCACCTAAAAGATTTAACAAATGAACATTCTATAAAAGATAAATGAAGCTGGTGTAGTACCAGTAGCACTAGAATACACAGATCAATGGAATTAGAAAGTTCAGCAAGAGATCCTTTCAGCCATCTGGAAGGTACCATGGAATTTAGATATACTAAATGTGGTATTCCTTAGAGGAGAATAAAGTCCAGATGGAGTAAAGATTTTTAAAATTCATAAAAATACTAGTAGAAAATGTAAGTGACTATATTATCTTCAGGTAGGAAAGGACCTTCTTTCTCAGCATGATGCTTGAGCTGAAAATCATAAAGGAAGAAACTGATGTTTGATACATAAATATTAAAACCAGTGTGTATAAGAACCACTATACTCATAAGGTATAAAAGACAAAAAACAAACCAAAACCATTCCAACTAAAAAATAGGGAACTAACACAAACAGGCAATCCATAAAAGAAACTGCACAGAACCAATTCAACATATGAAAGGATGTTCAACGTTATTAGTAATCAAATAAATGAAAATAAAAACACCTACCCAAATGACAAGGTTTCAAGAGTGGCAAAAATACAGTGTTGGCCAGGGTGTGGGAAAACATTTCATGCACTGTTGGGAATGGGCCATTGTAAAACATTTGGGGAGGATAGCTTAACATGTAACAAAATGAGCACACAGTTCAACTCAGTAATTAGACTTCTACAGGGATGGTTAGCACAGCTTTGTTAATAATAAAAAAATGAAGAGCCTCCCCAGCTATCAACAGGAGATTGCTCAAATAAATTACAGTGTATACATACAATTTGTATTTATGAAGCTCTTAATCTGTGTCAGGCACTCAACTCTGCTTACATTTCGAAAGGATAATTAATTTGCCCACAATCACATGGCTAAAAAGTAATGAGCTACAATTTGAACCTAGGCAGGCAGACTTCCAGTCTGGTCGTTAACCACTCATGACATAAACGTGATCTCATTTCTATGGAAAATAATGAAAATAAATGTGCTTTTATTCCATAGAAAAAAGTTGCAAGGTCGTATATTAACATTTTAACCGTGATTATTTCTGGATGGTAGAATGAGAGGAAATTTTATATTCATTGTACTCTACTATCTACATTTTTTGCAACGATTATTTATTAGCTTTATCAGATACAAAAACAAGACAATCACCACTTAGGAAAAAAAGAAAGACAAAAACATTTGTGATGGGCACAACTGCTACACACTTTACCCCAGGGTCACAATGGATTTAGTCTGAATCTTAAAAGGCCAATTAATTGTGATGTTTGACTAACATCCTGACTTTTCTGTCAAGACATTCTTTATATGATAACTTATGGGCATTGGGATGTACCATGACCATTGCTTTGTAGAGGGGCCTCTGCACCACAGGTGTCATTATGCTTTTAACAGTATTTATCAATTATTCTTAACCTCTTCTAGATCATGAATCCCTTTGAGAATCTGAACAAAGCTAAAGATCCTCTTTCCAGAAAAACACACACACTTATATTTGCAGATTTGTATTAATTTTTCTCATGGGTTCAGGCTTAAGAATATTTGTTCTATCTGACTAATTGAGGGCTGAGGCACTGCCCTGTGCTAAGTACTTTAAATGGGTTATCTCACTGAAAGTCCACCTGTGAGAGATAAGAACTATTTTACAGCTCCTCCTGAGTCTGCTCAGTGAGGTGAAGTAAGAGTTATCCCAGTTTACAGACAAGGAATGTGTGGCTCAACCAGGTACGACGCCAATCTTATCCAGCCTCATATACCCTTGCCTTCCATATGCAGGTATCCTCCGTCTTTCCAAGGTTCTAATTAGGCCACTTTACTTTTATGAAACACCTGCATTAGTGCCTGTTTTCACTAACTGAAAGAAATCGAAGAGGATTTTCGCTTTTATGAAAAAAGGCAAAAAGTAAAAATAGCATTGTTTGATTTGCAGGGCGTGCTTATAGAGGCAGCACCCAGAGGAGCTTGAGTGGCCCCCCACAAACTCCTTCCCCAGCAACCACACAGCAGTTCAGCATTAAGCTGCCAGAATTTTGAATTATGTGTAACCATCTGTGCTGTATCTTGATTTATTTTGTGCTTCCTTTAGCACAATGTGTCCTAACGTATCAGAAAAGCCCGAGAGAGGTTATTTTTGGGGTCCGGGAATGCTCAAAATTTCTGCATATAAATTAATGGTAATTGCTGCTTTCCTTTATGCCATTTCGGCTTAGGAAAGGTTTCATGGTTACACTCTACTTTCAGATCGGGCGGTTTGTTGGGGGTGGAGGGTGATACCTGTGTAAAGTTCCTCCAGGTCAACCTTCCAGCCTGCCACCACACTCAAGGGTGAGCAGGTGGGTAGATCTCAGAGACTCCATGGTCCCTCTAAATTCCCTTCAGTTACCGCTAAGGAACCCATGACTCAAAAAGGAGAAGTGCCACTAAGTCTTAGTCTTCTGTCTCTCCTACTCACCGAAGCCTGTGCTCACTTCCTAGTACCCCAGCAGAGGCAGAGCAGCAGCTCAGAAGAAAGGTCTGAACCCAACTGGATGGTGAATGGAAAAGAGTCCCTAGCTGGGGGATCAGGCAGAGAGAGAGAGACGGAGAAGCAGGGCCTGCAGCCCGGACTCTCACCCCAAGAAGAGTCACACGGAGGTTTGGGGCTAGTTCCCATCCGGGCAGTTGGCTGCATAAAGGAGCAGCAGTAGGGGAGCTTTCTCTTGGGCTCATATACTTCCGCCGAGACCCTCCCCCATTCCTCCAAACACACGGAAAGGCGAAGGGGCGGGGGTAGCCAGTATCTCTGATACCTGATACATGAATCTGGCTCTTCTTGGCAGTCAGTGTTGCACATGAAGCGCTCCCAGTGCAGCCAGCCCATGGTAGGAGTCATCGCTAAGCCATTGTTCAGTGCCCTGGCCCCAAGGCCTCCGCAGAGAACCAGGGCCAGGAGGGAAAGCGCCGGCATGCAGTCTGGCTGCCAGACTCCACTCACCAGCTTCATCGCTATTGTAATACTGTAGTACAGATCACCTGGGCTTTTAAATTTGACCTTACAGGCGGGCCAATCACCGGTGAGTTACTAATAATGACGTCATTGTTTCTCGGGCAACTGGGACGGTTATCCCCAGAGGCGGACCAATGATCAGGCACGTAAAACGCAGCGTGACCAATCACAGTCTTTCTTTCTTGATATTGTCCCTCCCTATTTCCATACCAGAAAGGAGTGCGGCACTTTAGTGATCCGAAGTTTAAGCCGCGAGTTGCTCACGTGACCGCAATCTCACATGACGTAGGCGATCACGTGATCTATCGCTTACGTGAGCAGAAGTAGTTCTGGTCGTCGTCTACCGTCTCGCTATAGCCGTCTGAGGGAAGAAGGAGGAAAATTATCCGGTATTTTTGGAGGTTGGTGTGTGGGTGGGAACTGGGACCCTGGGGGTGGTGATGATGAAGACCAAAGCGAGGTCCGCGGGCCGCCTCCGCCTTTTTCGCTCTCCGCTTTCCCTTCCCCCGCTCCCCCTCCCCCCTTCTCAGTGCCGGGAAGCCGCCTTTGCTGCGCCTGGTGGGGAAATGGTGGACGTTCGTGACTGTGTCTGTTTTTGTATGTCTTGCTGTCTGGGCGGGTCTTAGGGAATCTTTAAGAGAAACCGTAAGGTGAAAAACGCTTGAAGACCCCGTCCATGGATTAGGAAAATCCAATTTTGAGACCAGTGGTCCGACTGCTAGTCCACCCATTCAGGCACTCAGTCTCCACTGACTGTCTGTAGGGGGAGGCACCACGTGAATTTTATCTGTAGAGTCACATCTAAGCAAATACTGCGTGCCTGACAGGTGCCCAAGAAATGTTTTAACTGAATTGAATATTTAAATAACGTTTATGTTTCTGCTTATGACAATCTGTTCAATTTTGAACATTCGAAAAATAACAGTATACTATAAATTTTAAAAATACACGTAATTCATCACCCGGAGATAACTTCTCAGCATTATGGTCTATAAAAAGTATGTGTGTAACACACATAAAAATACACAAATTCCTAACTCAGAGATGGAATCCTGGTTCCTACTTCAGGCAACAGAGTTCTTGTGGCGAATCCTGGTTCCTACTTCAGGCAACAGAGTTCTTGTGCCCTTCCCAGGAGATACAGTCTGAAGCAGAACCTCCCTGCCACTACACAGGGGATATTAAAGCGTAGAATGCTGCGGGACATTAAATGGGATGGGTTATCCAAGAGAGAAGGCAGGTAAAAAAACCAGTCCGTAAATCTGCCACTCAGACCTATAGACAGTTTATAGGAAAGCTTATCACTGCAGATGCAGTGTGCCAGGCACTTAATAGACAATTAGTGTTTGTTAAATTGACTCCTCAGTGCAGTTTTATGGCAGTTTTGTTACACTTTTTACTTTACTTCTAAGAGGTCCAGTGTTCCCTGACTATGTCAGATGAGCCATCCACATATAAAATTAGAACATTTTATAAAACTTGCTATACCAAATCCCAGAAAAGCGAACATTTTATTATTTTTTATTCTTTTGCTGGAATAAAAAGAATTATTCTCTGTAGAAAATTAAGAATGTACAAAAAATTGAAAAAGCCGTAACTTACCACTAGAGTAACTACTATTAACATGTCACATATTCCCCATGCGTGTATTTTTTTAACATTCTTTTTATTCCATTTACAGTAGTTTTTAAAAATTCAAACTGTATAGAAGTATATAGGGTAAAAAGTGAAAATCCACTTCACTCTTCCTACCTTCCAGTTCCTGTTTTCTCAAAAAACAAGTTTGTATTATATGCTTTCAGGGCAGCTGCTATGCATTACATGCTTATATTTTAAAATAAGTAGGATCATACTATGCATATTCTTTCATTTAATACATTCTGGAAATCTTCCTAGGTCAGGGCAGATTTTTTTTTAACAGCTGCATAGCATCCCATTTTAAGGATAAAGTATAATTCATTCAGCCATTCCCCTATTAATGGATAGTTAGGTTTCTAATTTTCTGCCATTACAAAGAGTGAGCATTTGTATTTCTGTTGACCAGGTTCCTAGAAGGAATTCCAACCAGATTAAAGAATATTTGAACATACATTTTTTACATAAAGATTATAAGGCAGCTGTGATCTTGGGTCACTTTAGATTATAGCATAAGTATTTTCTCATATTATTAAACATTTTTATAATTTTTTTAAACATTTTTATAATTTTTAAATTGTGTAATATTCTTCTTTCTAACCTTTTGGAGAATATATAGCTCTCTAAATCTTTTGTCTGAATTTCAGATCTTCCCCTAAAGGCACGTAACCTGAAGTGGATGTACTGTATCAAACGGCATAATACATATATGCAAATTGCTTTCCAGAAATACTGTATTAACTTGCGTTCTTGTAGGAATGTATTAGTTTGTGAACCCTGAATATCAGCATTGACTTATCCTTGCTATTTAATTTTCACTGCCTTGAAGGGTGAAAAATGGTGATTAATTCCCAGACAACTCTCTTGTATCCTCATATCTGTATTATCCCTATATTTAATCTTAATCAAGTCCCACAGAATCCACTGCTTTGAATGCTTACATTACAGTTTAAAAATGAATTTAAACTGTGCTGTTGCCTTAGGTGAATCCTTTAACATACTTCTAAGAGACCACGGTTCTAACTGATCTTGCTTATGTCACCCAACTCCCACTGTTTGAGTTCCACCCTGTTGCCAGGGTGATTTATCTGAAAGGGGTTTTACGACTTCACTCCCTTTCCCTTCCCTTCCCTCCTCTCCCCTCACTCCCTTGTTTAAAACCTGAAAAGGCCCTTAGGGTCTGTCTATCAAATAAGGCCTTTGGGATCTGATCTCTGTCTTGTCAGATTCTCTGCCTTGCTGCCTCCTGTTTTGTGCTCCATCATAGTTTTAAAAATTCGTTTATGGATTCCTGAAATGGTTTGTCTGTTTTAACAATTCTGTGCCAACTATAGAATTGACCATCCAGTCTCTGCTTTATACCACTTTCACCCTATACAGAATCCTTTCATAGCAGAGATCATGTATATTTGACTTTTTGTCTTCAGTAAAGCTGGACAGTGTCCCTGTAGGACCATAAACCCTTTTTGGGTTTATTGATTCTTGCATTTCAGAGCTGAGTACTAGACCTGGCAACTGAAAAATGTAAAATGAATGCATGAATTGCCCATAATTGCCCATAAATCTTTTTTCCATTTATCTCTTAGGCCTTAATATTTCCCTGATGTTATTAATTTGTGTGAGTTATTTATATAATAAGGATATTAATGTGTGTGTTGTAGGTATCTTCTCAAGTGCATTGTTTCTTTTAATTCTGTTTACTTTTGATGTAACGAAATTTTTCATTTTTAGGTAATCAGACATAGCTATCTTTTACTTGTTGATGTTTTCCACTGCTTTTGTTGCTGTTAATTTTTTATGCCTTTTTATTTTCTGACTATAGTGTTAATATATGGTCAATGTAGAAAACTTAGAACATACAGAAATGTCCAAAGAATACATTCCCTGAAACAAAAAGCTTTCATGATCCTACCACCCAGAAATAACTACCATTAATGGTATCCAACACTAATAGGTATCAAATAAATAATCGTCAAATGATTGAATGAGTTAGAAATTTGATGCAGCGTTCTTGTTTATGTGACTGTCTTACAAAAAAGCTATCAGTGTAATTGAGCTTTATATTAATAGTTTGCCTTTTTCTCTTACTATATCTTGAACATTTTTCCATGACAAGAGTCTTCTAATTTTTTCAGCTACATTGAAATTGCTTTGAGTCAAGCTCGCCACCAAGAGCCCAACAGTCACCATGATGTTGAGCACGGAAGGCAGGGAGGGCTTCGTGGTGAAGGTCAGGGGCCTACCCTGGTCCTGCTCAGCCGATGAAGTGATGCGCTTCTTCTCTGATTGCAAAATCCAAAATGGCACATCTGGTATTCGTTTCATCTACACCAGAGAAGGCAGACCAAGTGGCGAAGCGTTTGTCGAACTTGAATCCGAAGATGAAGTGAAATTGGCTTTGAAGAAGGACAGAGAAACCATGGGGCACAGATATGTTGAAGTATTCAAGTCCAACAGTGTTGAAATGGATTGGGTGTTAAAGCATACAGGCCCGAATAGTCCTGATACTGCCAATGATGGTTTTGTCCGGCTCAGAGGACTCCCGTTTGGCTGTAGCAAGGAAGAGATTGTTCAGTTCTTTTCAGGGTTGGAAATTGTGCCAAATGGGATGACACTGCCGGTGGACTTTCAGGGGCGGAGCACAGGGGAGGCCTTTGTGCAGTTTGCTTCGCAGGAGATAGCTGAAAAGGCCTTAAAGAAACACAAGGAAAGAATAGGGCACAGGTACATTGAAATCTTCAAGAGTAGCCGAGCTGAAGTCCGAACCCACTATGATCCCCCTCGGAAGCTCATGGCTATGCAGCGGCCGGGTCCCTATGATAGGCCCGGGGCTGGCAGAGGGTATAATAGCATTGGCAGAGGGGCTGGGTTTGAAAGGATGAGACGGGGTGCCTATGGTGGAGGGTATGGAGGCTATGATGACTATGGTGGCTATAATGATGGGTATGGCTTTGGGTCTGATAGATTTGGAAGAGACCTCAATTACTGTTTTTCAGGTATGTCAGATCATAGATATGGAGATGGTGGGTCCAGTTTCCAGAGCACCACAGGGCACTGTGTACACATGAGGGGATTACCTTATAGAGCCACTGAGAATGATATTTACAATTTTTTCTCACCTCTCAACCCCATGAGAGTGCACATTGAAATTGGACCCGATGGCAGAGTTACTGGTGAGGCAGATGTTGAATTTGCTACTCATGAAGATGCTGTGGCAGCTATGGCAAAAGACAAAGCTAATATGCAACACAGATATGTGGAGCTCTTCTTGAATTCTACTGCAGGGACAAGTGGGGGTGCTTACGATCACAGCTATGTAGAGCTCTTTTTGAATTCTACAGCAGGGGCAAGTGGTGGTGCTTACGGTAGCCAAATGATGGGAGGGATGGGCTTATC